CTGACTGAGAGCAGCAACCTCACAGATCGGATATATGTAATGTATAGACTTGGGGCTGAGAAGAAAGCAAGCTGCAATGTAGTACAAGCAGTCAACATTGGTTGCAATTACTTTTTTTCACTCAGTTTGGCCTCAAAATAAACTTTGGAATGTAAGTGGATTGTTTGACTATGTAGTCCATCCTTTCTCAACCAGGGTGCCCAGGCACCCTGGGGTGCCTTCAGGCTTTTTCAGGAGTGCCTTGGCAAAATGCCCAAAAATTGTATACAAGCCAGGAGGTGGATCAATCCTGCCTTTTTAGTACACAAAGTTACAGGTTTTTATTGCACACTTTTATGACCTTCTAGCTGCCAGCACTCTAAGAACCAATGACATCAATTGATAAGAAGGACGTCGGGTGCATGCACATCATCCTTGTTTGAGCCTCCCATTAGCCTGCAGTTTCTTGTTTGTGTTCTTACCTCCTTGCTGCAGTCCTGTTCCTGATCCCTTCTCATGTGTTTGTCTGTGCTCATCTATGGGCATCGTCTGCTGTCCGCTGGGTTTTATTTCCTTCCCTTCCACGACTTCCTGGCCCGCTTCCTTGTTTGCCTGTCTATATAAGACATGCTCAGAATAGGCCACTTTGCCTGAGCAACTTCCTAGTTGTTGGAGCTCCTGCGTGTTGCTACTGCCTGAATCCCACATTGACTACTTGTGTATCGACTCCGGCTTTGTTCTCTGACCTTGCTTGTTTTCCAAAGAACCAGCAAACACAAAATGCTCCTGCGCTTGGGGATGGACTCGATGCTACAACCACATTAAGAATGTCCTGGAACATGCACACCTTGCTGCCCTCAAATGGACCGGGGGAATCCAAATATACTGAATGGGGAAAGAACAAAAAGAGGGCGCACAGGCCTAGTGCATTACCATAAAAAATGTTTAATAAAAAATAATAAAGTAGGTGTTGTACTCACAAATGACAATATAGTCAAGGCACATCATAAAAGAACAGCTGGATCAACACCGCGCTGAGTAACAGTCCGCAATAGGGAGTTTAGACATCCAAAAGTCTGACGCGTTTCGAGGACTTGCCTCTTCCTCAGAGCCAACTGACCAAATGTCTGCTCCCTCTTTTATATGCTCACTACTAGTTAAACCAAAGGTCACATGGGCCGTCCTGGATACTCCCCTGGGCAGGTGGAGGAGTCACAGGGGCAATCGACATAGTGTAAGTAAACACGAAAGGTCTATAAAAAAAAATATATATATATATATGTATAAATAAAACCATTGAAACTAGTGACAATCATAAAATCATATGAACCATAAGAAGTGTGCACAGTGAAAAATGAATAAATAAATGGAAAGTTACACATATATATAAAAAATAATAAAAATCCTTCCCTGGTGATGCACTGCACTGCTCGCCTTTAAATAAATGGATGGATGGATGAGCAACGCTACGAAGCTGCCTAGTGCTCTGCTTGCCATAGACAACCATGGGACATGGATTTAATATAGAGAGTAGATCTGAAACCCAGCAGAGACACTTATTAATTCATAGAGATGCAGCCTACAGGGTGTGTGCCTCTCATTCTAGTATAGTCATATGATGAGACGTAGGCTTGCTTGTTTTCCACCTGTCCTGACCTAGCCTATTGGATTCTGTTTGTCTCCTCCCATTATACTCTGCTCCCGAGAGCGGTCTCTTCAACCTCAGCTGGGCATACCCGGGGGCCGTGACTTGGTCCCAGCTTGCTGCAAGTCCATCCCCACCATCAGGGGCTCTGGTGAAGAAGCAGGCTGGGGCTTAGAATCCGCGCCCTGGGGAACCCCAAGTTGAGTATCAACCAGAGATCACTATCACAGGTGCTGACAACCAAGCAAAAATCGCAGGTTTAGGCCTCATTCACACTGGCACTCATACATTTAGTATTTCTAAATGCATAAAAAGTCTGTGAAATAATCAGTTTTCATGCTTTCCAAATCACTATTTCCCACATTAAGATGTCCCTATATTAACCACTTAGCGCCCTCCAGCAGTGTATGACATTTCCTACTTCCAGGTGTTGGCACCCGCTGTGACTGTACACAGTGGGCCCCTGTTAGCAAGTCTCAGCTAATGATTCACAGCTGGGACCTAGTGATCTGCTGTCTACAATCACAGCGCAGACCTCTGTGTTGACATTCAACACAGAGCTCTGTACAGAGGGAATTATCTTTGTGTTTCTCATCCCTTCAAAACAGGGATTAGAAACTTAGAGATCTATTAGTAAAAGCAGCATACTTTACACACAGTACACATACACTTTATTGGCAAAAGTATTGAGACACCCCTCTAAATCATTGGATTTTGGTGTAACAATCACCTCCATGGCCACTGGTGTATAAAATCAAGCACCTAGGCATGCAGACTGCTTCTACAAACATTTGTAAAAGAATGGGTCGCTCTCAGGAGCTCAGTGAATTCAAGCGTGGTACTGTGATAGGTTGCCACCTGTGCAATAAGTCCATCCGTCAAATGTCCTTGCTACTAAATATTGCACAATCAACTGTTAGTGGGATTATATCAAAGTGGAAGCAGCTGGGAACAACAGCAACTCAGAGGTAGGCCACATAAAGTGACAGAGCGGGGTCAGCACATGCTGAAGCGCACAGTGTGCAGAAGTTGCCAACTGTCTGCAGAGTCAATAGCTAAAGACCTCCATACTTCATGTGGCCTTCAGATTAGCACAACATCAGTGTGTAGAGAGATTCATGGAATGGGTTTCCATGGCCGAGCAGCTGCATCCAAGCCTTACATCACCAAGTGCAATGCAAAGCATAGGATGCAGTGGTGTAAAGTACTGGAATCTAGAGCAGTGAAGACATGTTTTCTGGAGTGATGAATCACGCTTCTCTAACTGGCAGTTCGATGGATGTGTCTGGGTTTGGTGGTTGCCAGGAGAATGGTACTTGCCTGACTGCATTGTGCCAAGTGTAAAGTTTGGTGGAGGGGGATTATGGTGTAGGGTTGTTCTTCAGGGGTTGGGCTTTACCCCTTAGTTCCAGTCAAGGGAATTCTTAAGGTGTCAGCATACCAAGACATTTTGGAAAATTTCATGCTCCCAACATTGTAGGAACAGTTTGGTGATGTCCCCTTCCTGTTCCAACATGACTGTGCACCAGTGCACAAAGCAATGTCTATAGATACATGAATGAGCAAGTTTGGGGTGGAGGAACTTGAGTCCTGACCTGATAGAAGACTTTTGGGTTGAGTTAGAGCGGAGACTGCCAGCCAGACCTTCGTGTCCGAGATCAGTGCCTGACCTCACAAATGCACTTCTGGAAGAATGGTCAAACATTCCCATAGACACACTCCTAAACCTTGTGGACAGCAGCATCCCAGAAGAGGTTGTTATAGCTGCAAAGGGTTGGCCAACTCAATATTGATCCCTATGGACTAAGACTGGGATGGGTTTAAAGTTCATGTGCGTGGAAAGTCAGGCGTCCCAATACTTTTGGCAATATAGTGCAGTTAAGCATTCATTTAACCTATTATTGCCATAGATGTGAACCCCTTCCCCATTCATGTCATTACTACAGTATAGTGACAGTGTATTTTATTAACAATAACCACTGTATGAATGTAACTGGGGATGTCAGTGGAAGTTAGTCAGTTCCCCCAGCGTCATTTAGTGTCAGACACCTGCCCCTTCGCAGTCCCGTGGCTGATCACTGCCATTGGTAGTACAAACACTTTTTAAAAATTAAAACTCCAGTATATATTCCATAATTGGAAGGTGGTATACAGTAACTTTCAATAACCAATCAATATACACTTTTTTTTATCAAAGACATGTAGCAGAATACATTTTGGCCAAAATTTATAAAGAAATTAGATTTTTTTATTGGATATGTTTTATAGCAGAAAGTAAAAAATATTGTTTTTTTTTCATTCATATCACAAAAAATAAAAAACCAAGTGGTGATCAAATACCACCAAAAAAGGTCAATTTGTGTGAAAAAAAATTATAGAAATTTTGTTTGGGTATAACGCTGCATGAACACGCAATTACCAGGTAGTATTACCCGACTGTAGCTCGGGGTAAAGTTTCAGCACCACAAGCAGTAACCCCGAGCTACACTCGGGCTTACCATGCGGCGCTGCTCCGGGATCTGTTCTTATCTTACCTTGTCCTGCGCTCCCGTGATGTCCCTCCTGCAGTGTCCCCTGTAATGTCCTCCGGCAGATGCCGGCATCTGTCTTCTGAGTTCCGTCCCCTGCGACGTCGGGACGTATGGGGACAGAACGGTGGGAAATTTGAAAATGACAAACAGTGACATTCACTAAATTCACTAAAATAACATAGTAAAACATTACTGTATCAAACCATTTCACATACATTTTGTCCCTAGTGCTTTGTCCTGTGCCCTGCCTGCATTTTTACTGTTCTTTCTGCCTGGAAACTGGGAAACGTCCATGTCATCCAAAAAGCGTCGCTTTAGGTCAAAATCAGTTTTAGACCAGCTAGAGAACAGCGATAGTAAATTAGAACCACTTGCAGAATTGAGTGATAATGATTCGTGGGGAAATTCATCATCAGACACTGAAAACGATTTTGCGACTTTGCTCAGTGATATGCGAACTTGGCGCTATATTTCAAATTTCAGTGTTTTTGGTTTGATTACTGTATTTTTCGCTCCATAAGATGCACCTGACCATAAGAGGCATCTAGGTTTTAGAGGAGAAAAACAAGAAAAAAAATATTCTGAACCAATGGACTGCAGACGTAGTACAGGAAGTGATCAGACACTGCGGACACAGTACAGGAGATGACCAGAGACTGCGGACAGTACAAGAGATGACCAAAGACTGCGGACACAGTACAGGAGATGACAAGAGACTGCGGACACAGTACAGGAGATGACCAGAGACTGCGGACACAGTACAGGAGATGACAAGAGACTGCGGACACAGTACAGGAGATGACCAGTAGACTGTGGACATAGTACAGGAGATGACCAGAGACTGCGGACATAGTACAGGAGATGGACATAGTACAGAGGACCAGTGGACACAGTACAAGAGAAAGACCAGAGACTGCGGACATAGTACAGGAGATGGACCAGAGACTGCGGACACAGTACAGGAGATGACCAGAGACTGCAGACAGTACAGGGGATGACCAGAGACTGCGGACAGTACAGGAGATGACAAGAGACTGCGGACAGTACAGGGGATGACCAGAGACTGCGGACAGTACAGGGGATGACCAGAGACTGCGGACACAGTCAAGGAGATGACCAGAGACTGCAGACAGTACAGGGGATGACCAGAGACTGCAGACAGTGCAGGGGATGACCAGAGACTGCAGACCTTTAGGGAGGGAGGGGGAGTGGGTACCTGAATTTGACAAGTACCCGCTCCCACTTCCGCGGAGTTCTCCTTCCTATACTGTGGGCACCCACTGTGCATGCGCAAGAAGCGCTGCGCTTTGTGAATGGCCCGGCGTCTTTTGGGACCTGTCATGTGTCCCAGAAGACACCGGACCATTCACAAAGTGCAACGCTTCTCACGCATGAGCAGTGGGCACCTGGCTGTTACAGATGCCGGGGCGGGAAGAAGCCGGCGCGGGAAGACTACAGCGCTGGACCGAGGAACAGGTGAGTTCCTGCCGCAGAGAACAGCTGAGCGGCTGGCTCGGTATTCTGACATGGTGGCGGCGGAAATACTGGGCCGGCCGCTTTATATTCACTCCATAAGACGCACTGACATTTTCCCCCCTTTTTTGGGGGGAAAAAAGTGCGTCTTATGGAGCGAAAAATACGGTATATTATTGAATTAAATGTATTATTATTATATGATTATTTATTAAATTATAATTTATGATTTCGTGTTTCAAATTGTAAACATACCCGGGATGTGTACTAGACTCTTGTTCAGACAGATTTCAGTGAGTTATTCCTAAAAATTACAGGCCTACAATAAAAAAAATACATATTTCCATGCAAAAAAAATGTACCGCTTTGAGTACAGAAATATGGACATAATCAGACCGCTAGGGAGGTTAAAGTAGCGCAGCGTAGTATATAGCAAAAAACAGCCTAGTCATGAAGGGGGTAAAATCTTTTGGAGTTTAAGTGGTTTTGCTGAGTTTATGTTATGTGTTTAGAGTTTCCAGTCAGATCCTGTTTGCATAGCATCCTATTTCCTCTACACTCAACTAAACTGACCACACCTAAATGCAGGCAAACACTCAATTTGAATGGCACCAATGAAAAATTACAGACATTTACCGTATATGCAGTCGGAAATGTCCAGTTTTGACAGTGCCAGTACATATGAGGTGTAAGGAGATTTAAAAAGTTCTTAGTTACATATCAGTGACAAATCAAAGCAGTATTAAAAAATATATATTTTATATATATATATATATATATATATATATATATATATATATATGCTTACCAATCACTAGATTGTTAGATTAGTTTTCTTTTTTAGGCTTTTTCCTTCTGTTTTCACCAGGTGACCTGACCAGTAACACACCTCCTGTATTAAAGTGCCCCCACTCTGGATGAAGGAGCACAGGGGGCAACTTTGGACAGCAGCATTGTCAATCTGGGTGGAGGGGAGCATTAGATGTACTAGCAGATTTAGATACACTAACAAACTGAAGCTGAACTCCAGCTCACACTTTACAGTATAAGCAGTTACAACCAACGTTTTTTCCTTTTGAGATAAAGGATTTACATGAATAAATAAAAGTTGATCATTGTAAGCACCCTTGCTAATGTTAAATGTTTAGTCTCATCTTTGTAACTGAAACATTCTATTGGAGAGCTTGTTCATTTCAAAAACAACAAACTTACTGGCTGGATCACCAGGTGAAAGTAGGAATATAGGAAGTTTAAAAAGCTAATGCAGCCATTACATCTAAAAAAAAACATGGTAAACTGCAATATAATACATTCCTGCTTTTTGGTTTAATACCACTTTAAGCATAGATCTGATTTTGAGAAGCTTCTCAATAATAATTGTGATTATATTCCAACTTGTCATAAAGCACACTGCATTTAATAATGCCCTTATTTTTCTTTCAGTCACCACTAGGGTTGATTAATTAAAACTGTAGAGTGCAAAATCTGGTGCTGCACTGCATAGAAACCAATCAGCTTCCAGTTTTTTTTGGCAAAGCTTAACTGCTTCTGCGCCGCCTTATAGCAGAAATACCGCTACAGGCTGGCATAAGTGCGTATATATATATATATATATATATATATATATATATGTGATTTCGCAGTTCCGGGTAGGGGGTGCGCACCATTTGCGGCCTCGGCTGTCAATCACTGGGTCCCAGCCGGTGATTACTCGCCAATACCTGGTTATCGCCGAATATTGCCAACAGGGGAGAGACCTGTATTTAAACAGTACAGATCTCTCCCTTGTCAGCCCCTGCATGCTGCTTTGTATGGCTTTGCATAGCAGAGCCATACAAAGCATTGTGCTTACAGTGAAGCACACACACAGCACATAATGTGAAACAGCATACAGTTAACCCTTTGATTGCCCCAGATGTTAACCCCTTCCTGCCCAGTGCCATTAATACAGTGTCAGTGCTTTTTATAAGCACTGATCCCTGTATTGGTATCACTGGGGATGTCAGTGACACCAAGTTAGTTCCCCCCCAGTGTCAGAATGCCCGCCGAAGTCCCACAGTCCCACTATAAGTGGATGATCGCCTCCATTACTAGTATAAAAAAAAATTCCAGTATATATATACCTCCATTTGTAGACACTATAACTTTCACGTAAACCAATCAATTTACACGTATATTTTTTTTAGCAAAGACATGTAGCAGAATACATTTTGGCCTAAATTTATGACAAAATTAGATTTTTTCTCAAAATTGTCCATTTTTTTTATTTATAGCGCAAAAAATAAAAACCGCAGAGACGATCAAATACCTTTAAATGAAAGCTCTATTTGCCTGGAGTTTGCATGTTCTCCTTGTGACTGTGTGGGTTTCCTACGGGTACTCCGGTTTCCTCCCACACTCCAAAGACATGCTGGTAGGTGAATTGGCTCCTGTCTAAATTGGCCCTAGTATGTGTATGTATGAATGCGAGTTAGGGACCTTAGACTGTACACCCCTTGAGGGTTAGGGACAGATGTGAAAGTACAATATATATGTAAAGCACTGCGTAAATTGACAGCGCTATATAAGTACCTGAAATAAATAAATAAATAAATATTTGTGGGGAAAAAGGACATAAACTTCATTTGAGTGCAGCGTTGCATGACTGTGGAATTGTCAGTTAAAGTAACTCAGTGCAGTATCGCAAAAAATGGCCTGGTCAGGAAGGGGGGTAAAACCTCCGGAGGGCAAGTGGTTAATTGAAGTTAGAAGCCGATTGGCTGCCATACACAACTGCACTAAGTTTTTCACTCTCCTGTTTATTAAATCAACCCCTATGCGTGTTTAGTAAGCCAGAGCAAAGAAGTGGAAGAGGTGCAATTTCCATTGGTTACTATGCACTGTGCATATCATAATCAACGTGTCCTTTCCCCAAGTCTCGGCTGGCCGTATCACAAAGCACAATACAGAAAACACAGGGACTTTCACTTCTGCCTTTTACTGCAGCTCTATCAGTATGGTCACCTAGTAGCTGTCACATATGTCAAATGTAATTGTGGCCTACAGCATTGCACATAGCTATATAAAATTAATATATCCATCAGTTATTCCATCAGTTTCCAAATCTTAGTTTACCTGACAGCTTATACTCATTAAACTTATTTTGTAACTGCTTCACATTCGCAGGCCCCGAAGCGTTCAAGTGACCTCTGCATGCACCTGAAGCTATCGCACCCACCACCTATTTACTCTCTATAGGTTTCTTGGACATTTAGACCATTGTTCTCCATTACCTTGGCTAATGTTTTCTATCTTTAATTCCTGAAGCAGAGCTTGTCATATACCTAAAATATCCACCTTACTATATTGTTCTGTGCTGCATTACTGTAGCTGTTACAATTTTGTGATGCTGAAATTTGTTAAAATAAATCTCCATTCTATGTGCACACTGTTATTGGTCTGTAGCTGTGTGAAGCAACTAGAAATCAAGTTGAAGTGCTGCTAAAGACTGAAGTTTTTTGCCTTCATGCATTCTGTAGATAAAGGTAAACATCCTTCAGGATGCAAGTCTCCCGGCAGCCCCTTTTAATGCATACCCAAGCCAGATCACGATCCAGCACTGTGCACGAGAGCAGCTGCTCTTCCAGGTCTCTCCCTCCTCATTGGCTCACACAGTAGGGGGAACCATTGGCTCCTGCTGCTGTCAATCACATCCAGTGAGGAGGGAGCAGAGAACAAGGACAAGCCCCATTGTGTATCCTATGGACAAACAGAGCAAGGCCCAGGAGTGAGCACACATGAGTGCCCCCAGAGCAAGTGGCTTGTTCTGGGGACATTCAGAAGGGGACCAGGAAGAGGACCCTAGAAGAGGAGGATCAAGGCTTCTTTGTGCAAAACCATTGAACACAGGTAAATATGACATGTTTGTTATTTTTTTTTAATGTTCACCTTTAATATCACTTAATATCTATGGCAAAATGTAAAATCATATATTTACTTCCCCATTAAATTTCAGTTTTTTATTAGCCTATGCCTATTAATCTGTCATTTGCAAACATACTTTGTGAAGATCCCCACACATTTACTTCCATGAATTCTCTGACACATATTCACTATGTCCTCTCAGTAGCCACTGCTGTGACACACATTTCACAGAGCCTGCCTTCTGAACTGCAGAGGTGTTAAGAGAAGGAGTTTCAGGAGGCGGAGTCAGTACAAGAGTCACTGCTTGCAGACTGCAAGGTACCATGGGATATGTAGTCCTTAGACATTGAAAGTGAACAGCAGAGGAGCTGCAAAAGCATGCAGGGAATCCAGGAAGTGGTGCAAAGAGATGGCCAGCGGACAGGCAAAACTCACAACATGAAAAGAGATTTAAAGCGCAGATATACCCACAACAGTTTGATAACAATTCATGTTCTTTAACAAAAGAACATACATTTCACATAAATATTTATGCTACCAAAATTAGTGTGTGCTGGACATTGCCTCAAGCACTGCTTATGTTTCTTCTTGTTGTTGTCCTCCATTTTGTTGAAGTCCAGAACAGTCACTACATTATTGGAAACACTCCCCTTCTCCTTGGTGTCAAAAACTATAATTCACTTTCTTCAATTAGCCACTTCAAGTCCGGACACTTTTACCCCCTTCCTGTCCAGGCCAATTTTCAGCTTTCAGTGCTATCACACTTTGAATGACAATTGCACGGTCATGCAACACTGTACCCATATGAGTTTTTTTAGCATTGTTTTGAGACATATAAAGCTTTATTTTGGTGGTATTTATTTTTTTTTTATGTAAATGAAAAAATGTCCACAAATTTTGAAAAAAAGTGTTTTTCTTATAAAATTTTG